TGCAGAATTAGTTGAAGAAAATGAAGAATTTGTGGATAATCTGTTCCGAATAGGGAGAAGAGCGGTAATGTGGGCTATTTGGAAGAGAAGATGCACTTATGAATGGGAAGGGGCTAGGTTAGATGGCCCAGATTTCACAGATAATATAAAACAACAAATCCAAACATACATTTTGATAAAGTGGGAGCATATAAAAGAAAATGTGCAATTTCTCTCAGACAAAACCGAAATTCAGAATCATTTTAGAAAATTCACAAGTAAGTGGTTGGGCGGAAACCAGGGAAGGAGAATAGGAAGTGTTGTTTGGAATGGGGCAATGAAAGATGATAATGCTGGGCTCAAAACGGACTATAAATTGGTTTTTGATGATTGGACCACCATTGAGGCTTCGGTACCTATGCGCCCCTTTTCAGATTTCCCTGATCCCTTCCCTCCCCCAGCATCTGCTCTAGTTCCAAGTTCTTGGTATGGTTTGTAAGGGATAACACTGCTATCCCCCTGGTGCAGCATCTGGTGTCTTGAGAAAGGAAGTTTACCAAGATATTCTGCAGGTGGTTATGTCATAACAGTTGTCATCACTTTTATCAGGAGCATTTTTTCAAATTAGTACCAGGTCTATGATGGGAAAATATGGCGCCACTCAGATGAGGGTGAAGAGGTGCAAGGGACGTTGGGCCCGGTTCCCAGCATCTTTGGTTTCTATTGCTCATCATTATATGTCAAGGGACGCTGGACCCGCTTTCCAACAGGTGCAGCTCCCCACCAATAGATTGGAGCCCCTAGTGATGCTGGTAGGAGTGGATGCTCTTATCAACACTCCTATCAGTAATCAGTAGGTTTTCTAATGTTCAGGGACGCTGGACGCCATTTCCAGTAGGTGCTGCTCTCCACCAATAGATTGGAGCCTCCCCGGTAGTGCTAGTGGTGCCTGCTCCTATCAACACCCTTTTTTTTTTTTAAGGCTCCGATCTATTCGTGGGGAGCAGCACGTGCTGGGAACCGGGCCCAGTGTCCCTTATAATAAGAATACAATGCTTAATAATGGTTCAGGATGATTTGAGGATGATTCCAGATGATTCCAGATGATTCCGGATGATTCAGGAAGATTCAAGATGATTCAAAAGGTTATACGCTATTGGATTATAAACTAGGAAGATTAGCTAGAAGGTCATTCTACTCAGGATTCAATTTCAATCCTATCCCTAAATTCAGGTGAACTTATCAATTCAGCATCCCTTAAACAGAGTTGTGCCATGTATCAATCAAGCCTCTACCCGGTCTCACGCCCTCAATCTAGCTGAGTTACAGGGCAGCGCTACCCACCCCAGCTCCGACCCTTGTCGGTCCTAATTGTAGCTGTCAGTCAAGTTACTGAATCGCCTTCCTCCCTCAACAATCCCCAGATCTCTCTACAAGGCCTCAAACTCCGACTCATGCAGGTTACAGGGCAAGCCCCAGCACTGGCCAGCTTCGTTCTGGCATCAACTCAACCTGGGCAATTACAAAAACACAGCACGTTTAAGAAACTGCTTATTCAATAATGACACCTAGCATTCCGGGATCTGATTCCAGTAAAATCCTAAATAGAATAAACCTTCTGATGATGAAGATTGGATGATGGAGATTACTTCCTCCTATCAGCACCGCTAGCATTATCTCCAGTTGATTTGTGGAAAAAAAAAAAGGACCATTACCCTACCAGTATCGAGGGCAACTTGGACCGGACAGCAGTGACAGGCACCAAGGCTAGCCATGACCCAGCCCTGGTGGAAGCGGAATCAAACGAGCCTTGTCGTACGGGAACTTCGGACGTCAGGCTCAAGCAATCTTCTTCCACTAGCCTCTAAGTCGAATTCTCCAGATGTGCTGGTGGTTTAAAGCACCAATACATGCCAGTTGTAGGCCGTGGCCCCCTTCTCGAGGCTGCCCACCGTCGATTCATTTTATCGACTGCACTCGGCCTCCTAAATTTCGGGAGAGGCTCAAAACAGGTTCTCCAGTTGCATGGGGCCATGTACTTGGTGGTTTAAACCATCGCCTTTCCCAGCTATTTTGGTTCGACAGGGGGTTAACCCGCCGCATTAGCAGGGCAGACTGGAGCACTGTTGCTTTTTTTTTTTTTTGAAAAAAAAAAGTATGGGTGAGGAGAAAGAGGGGTGGATGGACTATAATAGTACAAGGGGAAAAGACAAGGGTTTATGACGGATCACAGTACCGGGGCTATGGTATTTACCATCCCCAAGAAGTAACCGGAAGACAATACTGGGACTATGGTTCTTCATTGGACGACTTGACACCCCTTCTGTTTTTTGGCCTTCTTTTTTTCAATTTCGAGGGGAGTTTTTTTTTTGTTTTTTTTTTTTTATTGGGGTGATCACAACTGTCTATATTCTTCTCTCAACTTTTGTTTGTTTACCTTCCACTACCTGCTCCTAAGACTATCTAGAGGGGACCCCTGCAAGCATAGTTTTCCTCTCTCTATGAAGGGGAGATTTCATGTTGCCCCTTGCCCTTAATGGGAGTATTTTGCCCAGGTAGAAGTGAAACGGTATTCACCAGTTCGCAGTAGCTGATGCAGATCCCAGGGCTCGATCCCTAGTCCCCACCTTACCTGTGTACAGTACCTGTGTCAACCCGTAGAGTTGAACCTGCGACCTGTAGGACTGCCAGTGGTAGGTAGGTCATCGTAGGTTACAKGGTATAGGGGTTTCGAACTGTAGACCTATCAGGTAGGAGTCTAGAGAGTCCAGAGGTCTTAGCTGTAGACTTTCCGAAGGGTCAAAGTCGTAGCTGGTACTTACCTGAAAGGGCCAAAGTCGTAGCTGCTACAGGACCGAAAGGCCAAGTAGATGCTTATAGAAGTGGCCTTTCGGAGTCAGCCCACAGTAGGTCAAGGCAAGTGGGCAAGTGGTGGAAGTCCACCGTGCAGAGTCAGCAGTCCCAGTCCAGTTAGTCCGGTCCAGTCAAGCAAGTACCGCCTGGGACTGTGTGCACCGTGGGCCAGGGAAACAGGGCAGGCCGACAAGCCATAGAAGTATAAATCAAGAGGTTGCGCACAACCATTCATTCATTTCTGCAGAAGCCATGCGGAAGCGCTGTCTCAGCGGCTTGTGCGAGGAGGTCTGCAGTGTGCCCGAAGTCGAAGTGGGCCAGAAGAGCTTAGCATAGCGATAGCGTAGAGGCAGCCATAACTGCCATAGCTGTAGCTGGTGTGTGTGTGTCGTGTGAGTGTTCGGAGTGATGCGTGTGGGATATCCAGGGTGATCCATGGTGTGTGAACAGTGAGTTGTTGGGCGCCGAGTCGCCATAGCCAATGGAAGTGAACTCTTATCTGGGCGCCATATCTCTAAGTTTTGTGTGGGCGCATGTCGCCAGTTTGTTGTGATGCTGTGTTCATGCATGAAAAGTTTGAATGAGACGAGTCTGATTGCATTGGTGTCGGAGCTGGTACCCGTTATTCCATGCGCGCCGTCGTGTGCAGGCCGTGAAGCGCCATAGCAGAGGTAGCCGCCGAGAGATACAGTCCGCCATAGCGGACTTGAGGTTGGAGAAGCCGCCGCGCACCTACAAGAAGACCACGACGAAGAAGAAGAAGAGAGAGAGAGAGAGAGAGAGAGAGAGAGAGAGAGAGAGAGAGAGAGAGAGAGAGAGAG